GTTTGGATCAAGAAGGTCATTCTGAGAGAGATAGCAAGAGAGTTGGCTAAAGACGGCACGCTCAATAGTTTTGGAAAGAAAAGAAAGAAAGGATACTGGTCTGTAGTTGTTGACATCAGTGGGATCGAGTGTTGGTTTTTTGAGAAGGGGTGCAACTCTCGCTCTCTTGAAGACGGAAGGGACATGGCCAGCGGTCAAGGATGAGTTGATCAGCGAGGTGAGGTAGGGGAGAAGGTCACCGGAGATGGTCTGGAGAAGAGAGGAGGGGATGGGGTCAAGCGGGCAGGTTGTTGGGCGGCCTGCAGTCACTAGTCGCAAGATTTTATCTGGAGAGAGAGGGGAGAAAGAAGTCAAAGCATAGGGTAGGGCAGTGTGAGCAGGACCAGCAGTGTCATTAGACTTAACAAACGAGGATCGGATGTCGTCAACCTTCTTTTCAAAGTGGTTGACAAAGTCATCCACAGAGAGGGAGGAGGGGGGGGGGGGGGGGGGAGGATTCAGCAGTGAGGAGAATGTGGCAAAGAGCTTCCTAGGGTTAGAGGCAGATGCTTGGAATTTAGAGTGGTAGAAAGTGGCCTTAGCAGCAGAAACAGATGAAGAAAATGTAGAGAGGAGGGAGTGAAAAGATGCCAGGTCGGCAGGGAGTTTAGTTTTCTTCCATTTCCGCTCAGCTGCCCGGAGCTCTGTTCTGTGAGCTCGCAATGAGTCATCAAGCCACAGAGCTGGAGGGGAGGACCGAGCCGGCCGGGAGGATAGGGGACACAGGGAGTCAAAGGATGCAGAAAGGGAGGAGAGGAGGGTTGAGGAGGCAGAATCAGGAGATTGGAGGGAGAAGGATTGAGCAGAGGGAAGAGATGATAGGATGGAAGAGGAGAGAGTAGTGGGAGAGAGAGAGCGAAGGTTGCGGCGGCGCGTTACCATCTGTGTAGGGGCAGAGTGAGTAGTGTTGGAGGAGAGCGAGAGAGAAAAGGATACAAAGTAGTGGTCGGAGACATGGAGGGGAGTTGCAGTGAGATTAGTAGAAGAGCAACATCTAGTAAAGATGAAGTCAAGCGTATTGCCTGCCTTGTGAGTGGGGGGGGATGGTGAGAGGGTGAGGTCAAAAGAGGAGAGGAGTGGAAAGAAGGAGGCAGAGAGAAATGAGTCAAATGTAGACGTGGGGAGGTTGAAATCCCCCAAAACTGTGAAGGGTGAGCCATCCTCAGGAAAGGAACTTATCAAGGCGTCAAGCTCATTGATGAACTCTCCAAGGGAACCTGGAGGGCGATAGATGACAAGGATATTAAGCTTAAATGGGCTAGTGACTGTGACAGCGTGGAATTCAAATGAGGAGATAGACAGATGGGTTAGGGGAAAAATTGAGAATGACCACTTGGGAGAGATGAGGATTCCTGTGCCACCACCCCGCTGACCAGATGCTCTCGGGGTATGCGAGAACACATGGTCAGACGAGGAGAGAGCAGTAGGAGTAGCAGTGTTTTCAGTGGTAATCCATGTTTCCGTCAGCGCCAGGAAGTCGAGGGACTGGAGGGTAGCATAGGCTGGGATGAAGTCAGCCTTGTTGGCGGCAGAACGGCAGTTCCAGAGGCTGCCTGAGACCTGGAACTCCAGGTGTGTGGTGCGTGCAGGGACCACCAGGTTAGAGAGGCAGCAGCCACGCGGTGTGAGGCGTTTGTGTAGCCTGTGCGGAGAGGAGAGAACAGGGATAGGCAGAGGCATAGTTGACAGGCTGCAGCAGATGGCTACAATAATGCAGAGGAGATCGGAATGAAATGAACTAAACATCAGGGAAAGGAGAGAGCAGGCCTCCCTCACCAAAAATATATATATATATATATATATATATATATAAATAACTCTCCCAACTTCCACCTCAGAAACTATAATTGTTTCACTGAACCACCCGAGTAAAACTCTCCCAACTTCCACTTTAGAAATTAGAATTGTTGTAAACTACAGCAGACTGTTATCAGTAGCTGTAATTAAGTACAGCAGCTACCAACCACCTAACGTTAATGCCTCGGATGAGGTTAGAAAAACAGCTGAATGGTAGCAGCTAGCTGGCTCAATCACAGGTACTCTTAAGCATGAAATAACATTGGAAACAATTAACCACAGTTGCAAAAAGTTACCGGTAGCTACCCGCTAGTTAGCTAGCTTTGTTGGTCCAAGTAGTGGGTAAGCTAGCCTCGTGCTTCGCCGGGGTCCGCCGAATACAATACTTACCTACAATAATTACCTACAATAACCTTCAATAACTACCTGAGTAAGCTACCTATAATACCAAACTACAATACCTACCTACAATCTAAATACATGGTTTAAGCTTAACTCAACACCATATAAGAAGCCAAGCTTACCTTTCATAACGCAGCAATGATTAAACGTTGGGTAGCTAGCACAAAGATATTGTATTTAGCTACCACAGTACAGCCAGCTGGTAGTGTTGGCTGGCTAGCAATGGCTACTGTGTTGACTTTGTTTGAAAAACGGCGTCGCTGCGAACGAATATAGCTGGCTAAAAGGATATTGTTTTTAGTTGCAACCGTTGCTAATAGCAACTCGCCAGCTAATCCAGGAGGTGAGTTAGCTAGCTAGCTTCGTGCTACATCCGGCACCGCCGAATACAAAAGTAACCTACAATAACTACACAACAGCTACCCACAACAGCCCACGATGCCTACCTATACTACTTAATAATATACAGCCCACGATGCCTACCTATAGTACCTAACTACAATCTAAATACATAGTTTAAGTTATATCCTCTGGCATGTCGATGTTAATGTGTTGATGTTCTCCGTATCCATAGCCAGAATGATTTTGCAGCACATGGTGATCGAACAGGTTTCCTGATATATTCATCAGAGGTGTAGGGAGGATGAAGTCTGTGAATCCAAAAAATAGTTATTATACTGATGATTAACAAAACATGACAGTATTCATACCTTGGCTTTTGTGGTGAATATGAATGAAAAAAACTGTTTTGATAATGGTTTTCATAACCATACCTTGTCCATAATGTAGAGGCCTATGGGATATTCATTGAAGAGGTAAGGGAGCAGGATGGTACCTGTGATCTGCATATCATACCAATACTAATTGACAAACCTTTTTATGCCTCCTCCTCTGTATACCTGCAGACACAGACACAAAAATCAGCAGTTCAGTCATCTGCACCCAATACAGCTAGCCTTCAACATATTATTATAGCATACATATTCTTACCTCTTTGATGATTGATATCCATTGAATTGTGTCCATTTTCTGTTGTAGAAAGATTTGCACAAATACGAAAAGATAGATGTTATCATCATACAACAATATCAATTTAGATCATACAAGGGACAAACCTTACCTTAAATTGAGGAGATCTTTAAATTTTTCAGTTAAGTGTCTGCACCTGCTGTCCTTTCATATTCAAATCCGAATGTTTCCGTTGGGCAGTTAGGTTCCTGCAAGAACCGCCACCAACTCAGGAGGTTCTTCAAACCCCACCTCCTATGGGGTTCATGGAATAACCTTTTGGGGGCTATTTTCAGTGCCAAGAACACTAAGGTTGTCACGCCCTGACCTTGAAAGCCCTGTTTTTCTAGTTGGTTTGGTCAGGGTGTCCATTCGATGTGTATATCTATGTGAATGTTGACATTCTAGTTGATCTAGTTCTATGTTTGGCCGGGTGTGGTTCCCAATCAGAGGCAGCTGGATCGTTGTCTCTGATTGGGGATCATACTTAGGCAGCCATTTTGCCTACCTTGAGTTGTGGGATCTTGTTTCTGTGTGTTTGGCTTGTTTGATGCGTTTGTTGTTTTGTTCTGTGTTTATTTAATAAACGAACATGTACTCATACCACCCTGCACCTTGGTCCAATCCTGTACTCAACGAACGTGACAAAGGTTCTTCAAATAACTTTCAGGATCTTAGAAGAACCGTTGTTGAACCCCTAATTTTTAGAGTGTACACTATATCTGACTGGGTAAATAACTTTATTTGGAGTTAATGAGGACTCAGTGACTCAGACTTGAGCACTTGTACCAGGACTCTAACAATGGGACTCAGACTTCAGCCATAGGGACTCGTGACTCTTTCCATTGGTGACTCGGACTTGGACTCGAGCACAGGGGACTAGAATCGGATTATACATTTAGTGACTCGACTACTGGGTGAAACAGTCATTACCCCCGTTCTAGTTCTGGACATCAATGTGGCTGCAGTGGAACATTGATACAAATGGCGATGACGCTACCGAGTGATGGAGGGGCAACACGTACTACTGGCGGCACAATCTGGTGATTTGGGAACAGATAATCATGGACTATTCTTGTGGCAACAGGTCACAAATATTGCTGCTGTGATGGCACACTGTGGTATTTCACCCAATAGATATGGGAGTTTTTCAAAATTGGATTTGTTTTCAAATTCTTTGTTGGTCTGTGTAATCTGAGGGAAATATGTCTCTAATACTCTACCTCTCTCTGCTTATGTCTGTTTGTTTTGTATTTAATGTGTAATGTAGGCTGAATTTTAGTTGACTAAAATGGCCCACTGTTTTCATTTTGACAATAACTAGACAATCATTATTCAAAATGACAAAAATGTGACTTAATGATATTTTAGTCAAAATGACCAAGACTAGACTATATCTAAAAACGAATGCCAAAATTAACACTGTGCAGTAGGGCACGTTTTAATATTTGTTCTGAGCTAACTTCCTTATGATGCTGTCCTCCCACTCCCAGTCCCACCCAGTCTTTTGTCATCATGTACGTAATCTACTCTGTGAGCTCATGGCTCGGTTTGAAACACGGAACTAGACGTTTATAGCTATTGGGTAGGGTATGTCGTGATCAGTACAGCGCAAATCTCTACAGTCACTCAGACTTGGACAGTCCTTGGATAGGTCAGGCGCTGGTGTCAGATACTTTAATTGAGTTCGGGGGAGTTTACCTGGTCCATTCCCTTTTTTATAGCCTGCCTGTTGATTTCTATCGGGACTAATCATGTTGTCACTGGGGACGCTGCGTAAACGCATCGAGCCGGTGGTTTTATGTGCCCAAATGGCCAGCGCGTTTTTCGACACCAGCTTGCAGATGGTGGTCAAGGAGCGATGCGCCAACGCGACGGATGCGCTCTATCCCACCCCCACGGAAGACAGCCGGCAGAAAGCTATGTCCAACTTCTACATGATATATAATATGCTGGCCAAGTTCGTTCCGATCCTACCCGCTATTATTTTAGCTAAGGTAAGTCGATACTTTGTTTTAATCCTGGATATTTTTTTATATAGCCTGTTGTACTTAAATGGCAACTTTGTGTGTTTTAAATATGTCTAATAAAATGCATTCATTCATGAATTCATTCGTTCACTCATCCATCCATCCATCCAAGGTAGGGGACCTGGGGTACCGGAAGATCCCCATCGTGATCCCTCTGGTGGGTTACCTGGTCTCCAGAGTGATCCTACTCCTGGTTATAGTGATGGAGCTCCCGATAGAAGCTATGTTCGGCGGGGTCGTGGTCCACGGACTCAGCGGCGGGTTCTGCTCCTACTGGGCCGGAGTCATGGCCCTGGTGTCGCTCACCTCCACCGAGAAGGACCGCTCTCTCCACATGATGCACATCGAGCTGGTCTACGGAGTAGCCGGTCTCATCGGTAGCCTAGCGTCTGGGCACCTCTTCCAGTTATACAATGTGGACTTTAAACAAGGGACTGTGTTAGTGAGCCTGAGCGTCTTCCTCTACTTGGTGTGTCTTATCTACACAACGTTCGTTGTCCAAATGCCAAGCGTCTCGACATGCGTGCAAGAGCGCAACGAGACCAGTGGCATCATCACTGAGCAATATTCCAGGAATATTTTGAACATTCTGCTTCTCTTCGCGAGCGGTATCTTATATGACGTGGCCGTCGGAGGTGGGATGGAGATCCTGGTGACCTTTGAGATGAAGGAGCCCCTGAACTGGAGTGCTACACAGGTGAGTTGAAATGCATTTTATTTTGGGTAAAACATATTACATGATTAGTCCTGATTACATCAAACAAGATGTGCATTTGTAGCCTGGATACCTCCCATCATGCCACTCCTTGCCCTGTCATGCAAAACATGTTTGACAAGGAGTTCGAATGACAGCACAAACAGAGATCTAAGACAAGGCTAGTACATTTGGTCCCAGAGGATACAACATTAATTAAAACACCCATTTCCAAACCAGAGCCCTTATTTCAGAGTTGTGACTTGTGAGAATTAACTCTTGTAATAGAGGGCTCTGGTTAAACCAATCACATCAACAGGTGGGTTACGGTAACGCCGCCGGGTTCACGATCTTCCTGACGAGCTTCCTGGGTGTCATGGCAATGTCCAGGTGGGTGAGTGATGTCACCCTCATCATCATCGGCATGGTGTCCTTCGCTGCCGGGATCTACTTCATGGCCTTCGTCACGGCAACATACATGTTCTATCTGGGTAAGATGATACGATAATTTATTCCTTATCAGAGTGTAATTACATTTGTAAGTACCGTAGCCTATAACTTATGATAGATTTATGAGTAATGTACTTTGCCCAAGCAAATCTAACTGCACATTTTATTTTAGTTCAAACCAGATTGAAACAAGTACAGTGACCACCTCATCATGAGCACAGTATTCCGGATAGTAGCTCATATCCAGCTTAAGGTCTTATTCGGGATAAGCTGTTTACATGCACCTTTGATATCCTGCTCACGAATATCCCTGCAATCAATGAATAAACAGAATATTCCTCATTTAAATTCACATGGGTTAAACTGAATAGTAACTGAAACATGGACTCTGACTGTAGGCCTATAACCTCTCACATGTAGCATGATGTACAGTGAGGGAAAAAAAGTATTTGATCCCCTGCTGATTTTGTACGTTTGCCCACTGACAAAGAAATGATCAGTCTATATTTTTAATGGTAGGTTTATTTGAACAGTGAGAGACAGAATAACAACAAAAAAATCCAGAAAAAAAGCATGTCAGAAATGTTATATTGATTTGCATTTTAATGAGGGAAATAAGTATTTGACCCCTCTGCAAAACCTAGACTTGGTGCTCCGGTACCGCTTGCCGTGCGGTAGCAGAGAGAACAGTCTATGACTTTGGTGGCTGGAGTCTTTGACAATTTTTAGGGCCTTCCTCTGACACCGCCTGGTATAGAGGTCCTGGATGGCAGGAAGCTTGGCCCCAGTGATGTACTGGGCCGTACGCACTACCCACTGTAGTGCCTTGCGGTCGGAGGCTGAGCAGTTGCCATACCAGGCGGTGATGTAACCAGGCAGGATGCTCTCGAAGGTGCAGCTGTATAACTGTTTTGTCTCGGGAACAGTGGAGAAATATGATTTCTTTCAGCATTTCTTGAGAAAATGTGAATGCGCGTGTAATGTGTTATCTTTGACACTGTTATGCAAGCAGACAGTATTTCAACCACATATAATACGCACCCAAGACTGAAGTCTTATCAGAAACGTGTTTTATCGTTTTCTCAGGTTTTCATTTCCTTAAAACTGGTCAAACTGATGACATTTGGACATTTTGTACAGGACCAATCTTTCCACAATTTTGGAGTTATTGCATTTTCCCCCGGTCCCTAAAGGAAACAGACAACTTTACGGGTGTTAACTAGATTACTAATGTATTCATTCTATCAATGTAGGACATTTTTCTGCTGAGCACTACTTTATTTAGTCTTCTGGGGCAACACGTTATGACAGAAGAGAAGCTGCATGTATCTAACTATACAGTAGTTGACAAACAAATGTCCTACCAAATGTTGGAAATTCTACGCAGAAGCTTAGGGTTGAAAGTAGGAAATAGACCAAATAGTCCCAGTAAGGAATATCAGCTAAATAAATTATTATGGAAGCGGCACAGGAAGCCTACTTTTTGAATTGATATGTTTGACAATCAGATGAAAACATCATCACACAACACCCATGATATGTGAAACCGAGTCTGCGCAGACCGCGAAAAACAACAGTAAATAAAAAGTAGCGATAAGATGTTTACCTGCCACAGTATCCCGTCTAAGATCAGCATATCCCAGGCATCTTATCCAGGTTTCTCATCACCAGGATACAAGCTTTTTAAAATGATTGTAAACAGGATATGATGTTTATATGCGTCAACTCAAAAACAGAATACTTTAGTATCCCAAATAATAACGGGATATCGGTGTGCATGGAAACCTCCCCATGCCGTAACTAACTCTCCATGCAGTAACTAACTCTCCATGCAGTAACCAAGTCTATATGCAATAACTAACTCTCCATGCAGTAACTAACTCTCCATGCAGTAACTAACTCTCCATGCAGTAACTAACTCTCCATGCAGTAACTAACTATCCATGCAGTAACTAACTATCCATGCAGTAACTAACTCTCCATAGAGTAACTAACTCTCCATAGAGTAACTAACTCTCCATGCAGTAACTAACTCTCCATAGAGTAACTAACTCTCCATGCAGTAACTAACTCTCCATGCAGTAACTAACTCTCCATGCAGTAACTAACTCTCCATAGAGTAACTAACTCTCCATGCAGTAACTAACTCTCCATGCAGTAACTAACTCTCCATGCAGTAACCAAGTCTATATGCAATAACTAACTCTCCATGCAGTAACTAACTCTCCATGCAGTAACCAAGTCTATATGCAATAACTAACTCTCCATGCAGTAACTAACTCTCCATGCAGTAACTAACTCTCCATGCAGTAACTAACTCTCCATGCAGTAACTAACTCTCCATGCAGTAACTGACTCTCCATGCAGTAACCAAGTCTATATGCAATAACTAACTCTCCATGCAGTAACTAACTCTCCATGCAGTAACCAAGTCTATATGCAATAACTAACTCTCCATGCAGTAACTAACTCTCCATGCAGTAACTAACTCTCCATGCAGTAACTAACTCTCCATAGAGTAACTAACTCTCCATGCAGTAACTAACTCTCCATAGAGTAACTAACTCTCCATGCAGTAACTAACTCTCCATGCAGTAACTAACTCTCCATGCAGTAACTAACTCTCCATGCAGTAACTAACTCTCCATGCAGTAACTAACTCTCCATAGAGTAACTAACTCTCCATGCAGTAACTAACTCTCCATGCAGTAACTAACTCTCCATGCAGTAACTAACTCTCCATGCAGTAACTAACTCTCCATGCCGTAACTAACTCTCCATGCAGTAACTAACTCTCCATAGAGTAACTAACTCTCCATGCAGTAACCAAGTCTATATGCAGTAACTAAGTCTATATGCAGTAACTAACTCTCCATAAAGTAACTAAGTAATTCATTTGGCATGAGGAAGGAGGCCGGCTAAACTAAATTCAGGCCATCACACAGTGTAGCATGGTGCGGGGTGAGTGGGACTTTAATGCAGCAGTGTGAAGATAAGACTTGATTTTAAATAAATAAGGTCTCGCTGCCTTTTAAAATATACTATCAGACATCCTCTGCTATGTTTCAGCTTCTCGTTTCTGGCAGGGTTTACAGGTTGTGTAAACCAATGGTGTGTATATATGTGTGTGTGAGAAGAGGTGGGGGGCACACAATGCATTCTGACCACACCCATATCTCGTTATTATTTGGGATACTCAAGTATTCTGTTAGTTACTACATGGAGAGTTAGTTACTGCATGGAGAGTTAGTTACTGCATGGAGAGTTAGTTACTCTATGGAGAGTTAGTTACTGCATGGAGAGTTAGTTACTGCATGGAGAGTTAGTTACTCTACGGAGAGTTAGTTACTCTACGGAGAGTTAGTTACTGCATGGAGAGTTAGTTACTGCATGAAGAGTTAGTTACTGCATGGAGAGTTAGTTACGGCATGGGGAGTTAGTTACGGCATGGAGAGTTAGTTACTGCATGGAGAGTTAGTTACTGCATGGAGAGTTAGTTACTGCATGGAGAGTTAGTTACCGCATATAGACTTGGTTACTGCATGGAGAGTTAGTTACTCTATGGAGAGTTAGTTACGGCATGGAGAGTTAGTTACTACATGGAGAGTTAGTTACTCTATGGAGAGTTAGTTACTGCATGGAGAGTTAGTTACTGCATGGAGAGTTAGTTACTCTATGGAGAGTTAGTTACGGCATGGAGAGTTAGTTACTACATGGAGAGTTAGTTACTCTATGGAGAGTTAGTTACTGCATGGAGAGTTAGTTACTGCATGGAGAGTTAGTTACTGCATGGAGAGTTAGTTACTGCATGGAGACCTAGTTACTGCATGGAGAGTTAGTTACTGCATATAGACTTGGTTACTGCATGGAGAGTTAGTTACTGCATGGGGAGTTAGTTACTGCATGGGGAGTTAGTTACTGCATGGGGAGTTAGTTACTGCATGGAGACCTAGTTACTGCATGGAGAGTTAGTTACTGCATATAGACTTGGTTACTGCATGGAGAGTTAGTTACTGCATGGGGAGTTAGTTACTGCATGGGGAGTTAGTTACCGCATGGAGAGTTAGTTACTGCATGGAGAGTTAGTTACTCTATGGAGAGTTAGTTACGGCATGGAGAGTTAGTTACTACATGGAGAGTTAGTTACGGCATGGAGAGTTAGTTACTGCATGGAGAGTTAGTTACGGCATGGAGAGTTAGTTACTGCATGGAGAGTTAGTTACTCTATAGAGAGTTAGTTACTGCATGGAGAGTTAGTTACTGCATGGAGAGTTAGTTACTCTATAGAGAGTTAGTTACTGCATGGAGAGTTAGTTACTGCATGGAGAGTTAGTTACTGCATGGAGAGTTAGTTACTGCATGGAGAGTTAGTTACTGCATATAGACTTGGTTACTGCATGGAGAGTTAGTTACTGCATGGGGAGTTAGTTACTGCATGGGGAGTTAGTTACTGCATATAGACTTAGTTACTGAATGGAAAGTTACAGTGAGAGTAAAAAGTATTTGATCCCCTGCTGATTTTGTACGTTTGCCCACTGACAAAGAAATTATCAGTCTATAATTTTAATGGTAGGTTTATTTTAACAGTGAGACAGAATAACAACAAATAAATCCAGAAAAACACATGTCAAAAATTTTATAAATTGATTTGCATTTTAATAAAGGGAAATAGGTATTTGACCCCTCTGCAAAACATGACTTAGTACTTGGTGGCAAAACCCTTGTTGGCAATCACAGAGGTCAGACGTTTCTTGTAGTTGGCCACCAGGTTTGCACACATCTCAGGAGGGATTTTGTCCCACTCCTCATATGTACCGTCAAATCTTGGGTGAGAACCTCCTTCCCTCAGCCAGGGCATTGAAAATGGGTCGTGGATGGGTATTCCAGCATGACAATGACCCAAAACACACGACCAAGGCAACAAAGGAGTGGCTCAAGAAGAAGCACATTAAGGTCCTGGAGTGGCCTAGCCAGTCTCCAGACCTTAATCCCATAGAAAATCTGTGGAGGGAGCTGAAGGTTTGAGTTGCCAAACGTCAGCCTCGAAACCTTAATGACTTGGAGAAGATCTGCAAAGAGGAGTGGGACAAAATCCCTCCTGAGATGTGTGCAAACCTTGTGGCCAACTACAAGAAACGTCTGACCTCTGATTGCCAACAAGGGTTTTGCCACCAAGTACTAAGTCATGTTTTGCAGAGGGGTCAAATACTTATTTCCCTCATTAAAATGCAAATCAATTTATAACATTTTTTAAATGCGTTTTTCTGGATTAATTTGTTGTTATTCTGTCTCTCACTGTTCAAATAAACCTACCATTAAAATTATAGACTGATAATTTCTTTGTCAGTGGGCAAACGTACAAAATCAGCAGGGGAGCAAATACTTTTTTTCCCCTCACTGTATATACTGCATAGAGATTTACTGGAAACACTAGAGTAGAAGGGGGACTCCCCTATTGACTAGTCTCAACATAATTGTGGTTAGACCTCCTACACACACACATTCACTGCTTTCTTACAAAATCACACAGGAGACAGAATAGAACAAAGCAGAATACAATAGATTATAAACGTATTCTGCTGGAACGGTGCACCCGATCTCGTCTGCAACCCCTTCACTTGAACTGTTTTGTTGTTGTTGTATTCACACCCTTCCTTTCCATGTGTGTTTCAGCTCGAGCCCTCGGTCTGTTTTCTCTGATTCCCATGCCGACCATCCGTGCTCTGCTGTCGAAACAGGTGAAAGGCTCATCGTATGGTGAGTGCTGCAGTGCCTGTCTGTCTCTCAACCATAACAGCGGCTGTGTGTATCGAGCGGCTCAAAAGTAGGTGTGCTGATTTAGGATCAGTTTCGCCTTTTAGATGAATATGATTACACGGACAGTGGCGAACTAGCCTAACATCTAGACCTGCTAACATTCCAGTCCTTGCCACTCCTTGTCATAATATGGAGTCAAATGTTAGCACAAACAGACTGGTACCCAGGCTAGGGGAATGTTAGCACAAAGAGACTGATACCCAGGCTAGGGGAATGTTAGCACAAAGAGACTGATACCCAGGCTAGGGGAACGTTAGCACAAACAGACTGATACCCAGGCTAGGGGAACGTTAGCACAAACAGACTGATACCCAGGCTAGGGGAATGTTAGCACAAAGAGACTGATACCCAGGCTAGGGGAACGTTAGCACAAACAGACTGATACCCAGGCTAGGGGAACGTTAGCACAAACAGACTAGTACCCAGGCTAGGGGAACGTTAGCACAAACAGACTGATACCCAGGCTAGGGGAACGTTAGCACAAACAGACTGATACCCAGGCTAGGGGAATGTTAGCACAAAGAGACTGATACCCAGGCTAGGGGAACGTTAGCACAAACAGACTGATACCCAGGCTAGGGGAATGTTAGCACAAACAGACTGGTACCCAGGCTAGGGGAATGTTAGCACAAACAGACTAGTACTCAGGCTAGGGGAATGTTAGCACAAACAGACTGGTACCCAGGCTAGGGGAATGTTAGCACAAACAGACTAGTACCCAGGCTAGGGGAACGTTAGCACAAACAGACTGGTACCCAGGCTAGGGGAATGTTAGCACAAAGAGACTGATACCCAGGCTAGGGGAACGTTAGCACAAACAGACTGATACCCAGGCTAGGGGAACGTTAGCACAAACAGACTGGTACCCAGGCTAGGGGAACGTTAGCACAAACAGACTGATACCCAGGCTAGGGGAACGTTAGCACAAACAGACTGATACCCAGGCTAGGGGAACGTTAGCACAAAGAGACTGGTACCCAGGCTAGGGGAGGGGGACTGATCCGAGATCAGCACTCCTTCTCTGAGACGCTTGATGATCTTTATACTGTGTGTGCAATAGAAATCCACAGTATCCCAATCCTCTGAAGGAGACTTACTGACGTTTCCATTGATCACATATGCACCCATGTGATATTCACTCACATCTGCTATTACACAACGCAGTTGACTAGTCATTGCTTCTATTCACTTTCTGGGGCCTGCAACGTAGGCTGAACGCAAATAATGAATGACAATGCATTCCCTAATAACACAAAGCACACACATTCAGGCAGGGTCATGTTAGGGTGAAATCAGTTGGGTAGATTATGGTCATGTTAGGGTGAAATCAGTCGGGTACATTTCACAAACCGGAAATCTCAATTTCTAACAAGCATCTGACCAAATTACGCTAAATTTTAGTTCTGGCTTAACCGAGATTAGGTTTGGTCATATCTGTTTTGCATGGCAAATGGAACCCCATTCCCAATATAATACACTACTAACCCTTTCATAATACACTACTAACCCTTTCATAATATACTACTAACCCTTTCATAATACACTACTAACCCTTTCATAATACACTACTAACCTACTAACCCTTTCATAAGATACTACTAACCCTTGCAGAATAGACTGACAACCCTTTCATAATACACACTAACCCGTCATAATACACTACTATCCCGTTCATAATACACTACTAACCCTTTCATAATATACTACTATCCCTTTCATAATATACTACTAACCCTTTCATAATACACTACTAACCCTTTCATAATACACTACTAACCCTTTCATAATATACTACTATCCCTTTCATAATATACTACTAACCCTTTCATAATACACTACTAACCCTTTCATAATACACTATAATATAATAATAATATGCCATTTAGCAGACGCTTTTATCCAAAGCGACTTACAGTCATGCGTGCATAAATTTTTGTGTATGGGTGGTCCCGGGGATCGAACCCACTACCTTGGCGTTACAAGCGCCGTGCTCTACCAGCTGAGCTACAGAGGACCACTCACTACTAACCCTTTCATAATATACTACTAACCCTTTCATAATACACTACTAACCCTTTCATAATACACTACTAACCCTTTCATAATACACTACTAACCCTTTCATAGTATACTACTAACCCTTTCATAATACACTACTAACCCTTTCATAATACACTACTAACCCTTTCATAGTATACTACTAACCCTTTCATAATATACTACTAACCCTTTCATAATATACTACTAACCCTTTCATAATACACTACTAACCCTTTCATAATACACTACTAACCCTTTCATATCTGTAGGGATTAAGGTGCCTTTTGAGTCTCACCCCTGTTCTCACTAAGTAAATAACTTTAACAAAGCTTTCATTAGTATGTGGTTGAACCAGAACGGACACACTGGTGATTCACTTCCCTGTTCTACTGTGAGGTGGTAAAGAGGAAGTTACTGGCACGCAGACAAGTCAAGCTGTTGCTCACCACCACAGCATGAATAGATGTTCTTTCTGACAACATCTTTAGCTACTCGTCTTGAACTGATCTGACTAGCTTGTTCATCCAGTTCTGGTCCCTTTAAAAGTTGTATTATAAACACTCCATCCCAAATGGCACCCAATTCCCTATGTAGTACACTACGTTTGACCAGAGCCCTATGGGTTAAGTGCACTACATAGGGAATAGGGTGCCATTTGGGATGACTCACTGTCTTATGACCCTCTCAATGATATTTATACAGACAGAATGGCTTTCTGTTTATAAGAAATGAATCAACTTGGAAGCGAGAGAAAATAGGAAATGTATTTTACCCAATGACATATCCCTTCACCAAGCTGCTTGCTTGACCAACAGTGTGTGGAGTAATAGCACCCTCTAGTGGATCAAAACCAAATATACCCAAGATCGTTCCACTTTATAAAAAAAAAATATATATTTTATTTTATTTCACCTTTATTTAACCAGGTAAGCCAGTTGAGAACAAGTTCTCATTTACAACTGCGACCTGGCCAAGATAAAGCAAAGCAGTGCGATAAAAACAACAACACAGAGTTACATATGGGGTAAAACAAAACATAAAGTCAAAAATACAACAGAAAATATATATACAGTGTGTGCAAATGTAGCAAGTTATGGAGGTAAGGCAATAAATAGGCTATAGTGCAAAATAATTACAATTAGTATTAACACTGGAATGATAGATGTGCAAGAGATGATGTGCAAATAGAGATACTGGGGTGCAAATGAGCAAAATAAATAACAATATGGGGATGAGGTAGTTGGGTGGGATAATTTCAGATGGGCTGTGTACAGGTGCAGTGATCGGTAAGGTGCTCTGACAACTGATGCTTAAAGTTAGTGAGGGAGATAAGAGTCTCCAGCTTCAGAGATTTATGCAATTTGTTCCAGTCATTGGCAGCAGAGAACTGGAAGGAATGGCGGCCAAAGGAGGTGTTGGCTTTGGGGATGACCAGAGAGATATACCTGCTGGAGCGCATACTACGGGTGGGTGCTACTATGGTGACCAATGAGCTAAGATAAGGCGGGGATTTGCCTAGCAGAGATTTATAGATGGCCTGGAGCCAGTGGGTTTGACGACGAACATGTAGTGAGGACCAGCCAACAAGAGCGTACAGGTCACAGTGGTGGGTAGTATATGGGGCTTTGGTGACAAAACGGATGGCACTGTGATAGACTACATCCAATTTGCTGAGTAGAGTGTTGGAGTCTATTTTGTAAATGACATCGCCGAAGTCAAGGATCGGTAGGATAGTCAGTTTTACGAGGGCATGTTTGGCAGCATGAGTGAAGGAGGCTTTGTTGCGAAATAGGAAACCGATTATAGATTTAACTTTGGATTGGAGATTCTTAATGTGAGTCTGGAAGGAGAGTTTACAGTCTAACCAGACACCTAGGTATTTGTAGTTGTCCACATACTCTAGGTCAGACCCATCGAGAGTAGTGATTCTAGTCGGGTGGGCGGGTGCCAGCAGCGTTCGATTGAAGAGCATGCATTTAGTTTTACTAGTGTTTAAGAGCAGTTGGAGGCTATTGAAGGAGTGTTGTATGGCATTGAAGCTCGTTTGGAGGTTTGTTAACACAGTGTCCAATGAAGGGCCAGATGTATACAAAATGGTGTCGTCTGCGTAGAGGTGGATCTGAGAGTCACCAGCAGCAAGAGCGACATCATTGATATACACAGAGAAAAGAGTCGGCCCAAGAATTGAACCCTGTGGCACCCCCATAGAGACTGCCAGAGGTCCAGACAACAGGCCCTCCGATTTGACACATTGAACTCTATCTGAGAAGTAGTTGGTGAACCAGGCGAGGCAGTCATTTGAGAAACCAAGGCTATTTAGTCTGTCAATAAGAATGCGGTGGTTGACAGAGTTGAAAGCCTTGGCCAGGTCGATGAAGACGGCTGCACAGTACTGTCTATTATCAATCGCGGTTATAATATCGTTTAGGACCTTGAGCGTGGCTGAAGTGCACCCATGACCAGCTCGGAAACCGGATTGCATAGCGGAGAAGGTACGGTGGGATTCGAAATGGTCGGTGATCTGTTTGTTAACTTGGCTTTCAAAAACTTTCGAAAGGCAGGGCAGGATGGATATTTGTCTGTAACAGTTTAGATCTAGAGTGTCACCCCCTTTGAAGAGGGGGATGACCGCGGCAGCTTTCCAATCTCTGGGGATCTCAGACGTTACGAAAGAGAGGTTGAACAGGCTAGTAATAGGGGTTGCGACAATTTCGGCGGCTAGTTTTAGAAAGAAAGGGTCCAGATTGTCTAGCCCAGATGATTTGTGGGGGTCCAGATTTTGCAGCTCTTTCAGAACATCAGCTGTCTGGATTTGTGTGAAGGAGAAGCAGGGGGGGCATGGGCAAGTTGCAGCGGAGGGTGCAGAGCTGGTGGCCGGGGTAGTGGTAGCCAGGTGGAAAGCATGGCCAGCCGTAGCAAAATGCTTGTTGAAATTCTCGATTATTGTAGATTTATCGGTGGTGATAGTGTTTCCTAGCCTCAGTGCAGTGGGCAGCTGGGAGGAAGTGCTCTTATTCTCCATGGACTTTACAGTGTTTATGATACAAGTACCAAACTTGGTACACTAATACTAGATCCCTTAACGAACATTTAAAAGATTGGAGGCAGTTTGGGAATCATGTCAGTCAACCAGCCATTTGAATAAAATGGCTGCCATCCGGATTTCCCATGGCAGTGCTGCCATTAAAGTTTTTCTTTAAAATGTAAAAATAAACATGTCTCTAACCCCCTCCAACCCCCTCCAACCCCCACACCACACACTAACAAACTGAAATCATATGTGTGTACATTGTAGGCTCAATTGGTGAGAGGTCTCAAATGTCACATTAATTTGTATATACAGTGCATTCGGAAAGTATTTTGTTACGTTACAGCTTTAATCTAAAATGGATGAAATAAATAAAAATCCTCAACAATCTACACACAATACCCCATACTGACAAAGCAAAAACAGGTTTTTAGAAATATTTGCAAATGTATTAAACATAAAAAAACTGAAATATCACATTTACATAAGTATTCAGACCCTTTATTCAGTACTTTGTTGAAGCACCTTTGGCAGCGATTACAGCCTCGAGTCTTCTTGAGTATGACGCTACAAGCTTGGCACACCTGTATTTGGGGAGTTTCTCCCATTCCTCTCTGCAGATCCTCTCAAGCTCTGTCAGGTTGGATGGGGAGCATTGCTGCACAGCTATTTTCAGGTCTCTCCAGAGATGTTCGATCGGGTTCAAGTCCGGGCTCTGGTTGGGCAATTCAAGGACATTCAGAGACTTGGCCCGAAGCCACTCCTGCGTTGTCATGGCTGTGTGCCTAGGGTCGTTGTCCTGTTGGAAGGTGAACCTTCGCCCCAGTCTGAGGTGCTGAGCGCTCTGGAGCAGGTTTTCATCAAGGATCTCTCTGTACTTTGCTCCGTTCATCTTTCCCTCGATCCTGACTAGTCTCCCAGTTCCTGCCGCTGAAAAACATCCCCACAGCATGATGCTGCCACCACCATGCTTCACCGTAGGGATGGTACCAGGTTTCCTCCAGATGTGACGCTTGGCATTCAGGCCAAAGAGTTCAATCTTGGTTTCATCAGACCAGAGAATCTTGTTTCTCATGGTCTGAGAGTCCTTTAGGTGCCTTTTGGCAAACTCCAAGCGGGCTGTCATGTGCTTTTTAGTGTGGAGTGGCTTCCGTCTGGCCACTCTACCATAGGAAGTGTCTCGGTGGTTCCAAACTTCTTCCATTTAAGAATGATGAAGGCCACTGTGTTCTTGGGGACCTTCAATGCTGCAGAAATGTTTAGGTACCCTTCCCCAGATCTGTGCCTCGACACAATCCTGTCGTCTCTGAGCTCTACGGACAATTCCTTTGACCTCATGGCTTGGTTTTTGTTCTGACATGCACTGTCAACTGTGGAACCTTATATAGACAGGTGTGTGCCTTTCCAAATCATGTCCAATCAATTGAATTTACCACAGGTGGACTCTAATCAAGTTGTAGAAACATCTCAAGGATGATCAATGGAAACAGGATGCACCTGAGCTCAATTTCGAGTCTCATAGCAAAGGGTCTGAATACTTATGAAATTAGTTATTTCTGTTTTTTATTTGTAATACATTTGCAAACATTTCTACAAACCTGTTTTTGCTTTGTCATTATGGGGCATTGTGTGTAGATTGAGGACATTTTTTTATTTAATCAATTTTAGAATAAGGCTGTAATGTAACAAAATGTGATAAAAGGGAAGGGGTCTGAATACTTTCTGAATGCACTGTATCCACTGTATATGTGAATTGTGGCAAAGTTGGTTCCTGTCTTGGACACATTCGCGTGGGTGAAACAAATCAAATCAAATAAAAAAACCACCGTAATGATTGGTTGACAATAGGGCCTCCCATAGTGCAGCCGGTGAAACGTAACTGCAGAAACTTTCAGTCGACTGCGGTGAAAACATCATGACCTTTGGCAGAAGTCAGACAATTTATATCCCAATAATGCAACACATTTTGAAAGGCGGTGACATTTTGCGGCCATTGACATGTAATTTGTTCTTCACAGGGATCACCCTCATCTCACTGCAGCTGTCCTTTAAGATGGCCAGCCTGGTCTATACCCCCGTCTACACCAAGGTTTACCAGGCTACGCTGGACTGGTTCCCTGGGTTCGTCTTCACCCTGTCCAGCATCATCACCGTCCTGGCCACCATACCTGTCAGGTAAGACATCATCAGTCCTGGCCACCATACCTGTCAGGTAAGACATCATCAGTCCTGGCCACCATACCTGTCAGGTATGACATCATCAGTCCTGGCCACCATACCTGTCAGGTAAGACATCATCAGTCCTGGCCACCATACCTGTCAGGTATGACATCATCAGTCCTGGCCACCATACCTGTCAGGTATGACATCATCAGTCCTGGCCACCATACCTGTCAGGTATGACTTCATCAGTCCTGGCCACCATACCTGTCAGGTATGACATCATCAGTCCTGGCCACCATACCTGTCAGGTATGACATCATCAGTCCTGGCCACCATACCTGTCAGGTATGACATCATCAGTCCTGGCCACCATACCTGTCAGGTAAGTGAGGAAACAAACAACACCTCAAGGGTTTTACCTGCTGTTACTAAAGCAGGGACGCTATTGGTTTAAAATGATTCAAAAACTAAGAGTAACACTAACATTTAGAAGTAGGTACTACTAACCAAACATGTAAATTGTGTCAATGAAATTGCATGGATATACTTTGTCTACTGACTTGTGGTCCTCTGTAGCTCAGCTGGTAGAGCATGGTGCTTGTAACGCCAGGGTAGTGGGTTCGATCCCCGGGACCACCCATACACAAAAATTTATGCACACATGACTGTAAGTCGCTTTGGATAAAAGCGTCTGCTAAATGGCATATTATATTATTATTATTATTATTATTATTATTAGTAAGACATTACATCATCAGTCCTGGCCACCATACCTGACAGGTATGGTGGCCAGGACTGATGATGTCATGTCTCTTACCTTTTTATTTTACTTATTATTTAACTAGTTAAGAACAAATTCTTATTTACAATGACGGCCTGCCCCGGCCAAACCCGGACGACGCTGGGCCAATTGTGCGCTGCCCTATGGGACTCCCAATCACGGCCGGATTGTGATACAGCCTGGAACCGAACCAGGGGGTCTGTAGTGGGTCAGAGATTTCCCAGTTCCCAGCTGTTTAGAACACGGCACCGGTACAGGGTTACAAAGAGTACATCCAATACTTGTTACACAGTGCAGGAATAATAACAGTAATAAGGGCCCTGTGATGTAAAGTGTCACCTCATTTCCTTTGTAACGTGTTTTGTTCTCCTCCAGCATGGTGGGCTGCAGAGCTGGCCGGGGTGACGGTTATGAGAGGATCCCGGGGAACTGACAGTGGTGACGATCTAATTGTGAGCGTGACGGCTTTGAGATTGAGACATGTTAATGTCATTGTAGAGCCATCACAGGCCCTCTTGTCTCTGTGACACTTGAGCCGACATCACCGCAGCACTTCCCATGAATGCAATCTCTGCAAACGCATTGTTGGTAGTGCAGTGCGCAACGCTGCAACACGTCTTTCAATGAATCCCAGGCCTGAGGCCAATGAACATGACCAGCTGACTGGCAGGGCTGATACAGAGTGCTATTGAAAACATTCTCTATAGCCCTCAAACTCTGGACCTCCAAGGCAGTTCCACTGCGTTTTTTCATTGTTCCCCTTCACTGTGAAAGAACTCAGGTTAACCAGAGCTGAACTAACTTGAAATACTTGACTGTCACTTTTTAATACATTATTTTTGCATTTTAACTATTGTGTTCTTTATTGTGTATATCAAAAGCACTTGAGTGAACAGATTAAATATTTTCTTTTTTTTATTTGTCCAAAATCTAAAATCATTTGAGGTAAAGATATTTGCATCAAAACAACATCCATATACAGGCTAATGTACATATTATGATTCAATAATAAACAATGCACACTGAAAAGGAGGACAGCAGAGAGAGAGAGCAACAGGAGGACAGTAGAGAGAGAGCAACAGGAGGACAGTAGAGAGAGAGCAACAGGAGGACAGCAGAGACAGAGCAACAGGAGGACAGTAGAGACAGAGCAACAGGAGGACAGTAGAGAGAGAGAGCAACAGGAGGACAGTAGAGAGAGAGAGCAACAGGAGGACAGTAGAGAGAGAGAGAGCAACAGGAGGACAGTAGAGAGAGAGAGAGCAACAGGAGGACAGTAGAGAGAGAGCAACAGGACAGCAGAGAGAGAGAGCAACAGGAGGACAGCAGAGAGAGAGAGCAACAGGAGGACAGCAGAGAGAGAGCAACAGGAGGACAGTAGAGACAGAGCAACAGGAGGACAGTAGAGAGAGAGAGAGCAACAGGAGGACAGTAGAAAGAGAGCAACAGGAGGACAGTAGAGAGAGAGCAACAGGGGGACAGTAGAGAGAGAGAGCAACAGGAGGACAGTAGAGAGAGAGAGCAACAGGAGGACAGTAGAGAGAGAGCAACAGGAGGACAGTAGAGAGAGAGCAACAGGAGGACAGTAGAGAGAGAGAGCAACAGGAGGACAGTAGAGAGAGAGAGCAACAGGAGGACAGTAGAGAGAGAGCAACAGGAGGACAGTAGAGAGAGAGCAACAGGAGGACAGTAGAGAGAGAGCAACAGGAGGACAGTAGAGAGAGAGCAACAGGAGGACAGTAGAGAGAGAGCAACAGGAGGACAGTAGAGAGAGAGAGCAACAGGAGGACAGTAGAGAGAGAGAGCAACAGGAGGACAGTAGAGAGAAAGCAACAGGAGGACAGTAGAGAGAGAGCAACAGGAGGACAGTAGAGAGAGAGAGCAAGAGGAGGACAGTAGAGAGAGAGAGCAAGAGGAGGACAGTAGAGAGAGAGCAACAGGAGGACAGTAGAGAGAGCAACAGGAGGACAGTAGAGAGAGCAACAGGAGGACAGTAGAGAGAGAGCAACAGGAGGACAGTAGAGAGAGAGAGCAACAGGAGGACAGTAGAGAGAGAGAGCAACAGGAGGACAGTAGAGAGAGAGAGCAACAGGAGGACAGTAGAGAGAGAGAGCAACAGGAGGACAGTAGAGAGAAAGCAACAGGAGGACAGTAGAGAGAGAGAGCAACAGGAGGACAGTAGAGAGAGAGAGCAACAGGGGAGGACAGTAGAGAGAGAGAGCACAGGAGGGACAGTAGAGAGAGAGAGCAACAGGGGGACAGAATAGAGAGAGAGAGCAACAGGAGGACAGTGAGAGAGAGAGCAACAGGAGGACAGTGGAGAGGAGAGCAAGGAAGGACATTAGGTACAGATAAGAGGATATAGCAAGCAGGAGGGACAGTAGAAAGGAAAGCAACCGGAGGACAGTAGAGAGAGAGAGCACCAGAGAGGACAGTAGAGAGAGCGCAACGGAGGAAGGACAGATAGAGGAGAGAGCCAACAGGAGGACAAGTGGAGGAGAGGAGAGCAAACAGGAGGGACAGTAGAGAGGAGAGAGCAACAGGAGGACAGTAGAGAGAGAGAGCAACAGGAGGACAGTAGAGAGAGAGCAAAGGAGGACAGTAGAGAGAGCACAGAGGAGTAGAGAGAAGCACAGGAGGACAGTAGAGAGAGAGCAACAGGAGGACAGTAGAGAGGAGAGAGCAACAGGAGGACAGTAGAGAGAGAGAGCAACAGGAGACAGTAGAGAGAGAGAGCAACAGGAGGACAGTAGGAGAGAGAGAGAGCAACAGGAGGACAGTAGAGAGAGAGCAACAGGAGGACAGTAGAGAAGAGAGCAACAGGAGGACATAGAGAGAGAGAAACAGGAGGACAGTAGAGAGAGAGCAACAGGAGGACAGTAGAGAGAGAGAGAGCAACAGGAGGACAGTAAGAAGAGAGAGCAACAGGAGGACAGTGAGAGAGAGCAGGAGGACGTAGAGAGCAACAGGAGGACAGTAGAGAGAGAGAGCAACAGGAGGACAGTAGAGAGAGAGCAACAGGAGGACAGTAGAGAGAGAGAGCAACAGGAGGACAGTAGAGAGAGAGCAACAGGAGGACAGTAGAGAGGAGAGCAAACAGGAGGACAAGTAGAGAGAGAAGCAACAGGAGGACAGTAGAGAGAGAGCAACAGGAGGACAGTAGAGAGAGAGCAACAGGAACAGTAGAGAGAGAGCAACAGGAGGACAGTAGAGAGAGAGCAACAGGAGGACAGTAGAGAGAGAGCAACAGGAGGACAGTAGAGAGAGAGGAGACAACAGAGGAGCACAGTAGGAGAGAGAGAGCAACAGGAGGACAGTAGAGACGAGAGAGAGCAACAGGAGGACAGTAGAGAGAGAGAGCAACAGGAGGACAGTAAGAGAAGAGCAACAGGAGGACAGTAGAGAGAGAGAGCAACAGGAGGACAGTAGAGAGAGAGCAACACAGGAGGACAGTAGAGAGAGAGCAACGGAGGACAGTAGAGAGAAAGAGGAAGAGAAACCAGGAGGACAGTAGAGAGAGAGCAACAGGAGGACAGTTAGAGAGAGAGAGAGCAACAGGAGGACAGTAGAGAGAGAAGAGCAACAGGAGGACAGTAGAGAAGAGCAACAGGAGGACAGTAGAGAGAGAGAGCAACAGGAGGACGTAGAGAAGAGCAACAGGGGACAGTAGAGAGAGAGAAGGAGGCACAAGGAGAGACAACGGGAAGAGAGAGAGAGCAACAGGAGGACAGTAGAGAGAGAGCAACAGGAGGACAGTAGAGAAGAGAAGCAACAGGAGGACAGTAGAGAGAGAGCAACAGGAGGACAGTAGAGACAGAGCAACAGGAGACAGTAGAGAGAGAGCAACAGAGGACAGTAGAGAGAGGCAAGGAGGACAGTAGAGAGAGAGAGAGCAACAGGAGGACAGTGAGAGAGAGACAGGAGACGTAGAGGCAACAGGAGGACAGTAGAGAGAGAGAGAGACGGAGGAACAGTACAGGGAAGGCACCAGGATGACGTAGAGAGAGAGCAACAGGGACAGTAGAGAGAGAGCACAACAGAGGACAGTAGAGAGAGAGAAACAGGAGGACAGTAGAGAAGAGGATTGGTAGAACAGTAGGAAAGTTCAGAGAGTAGATCTTATGACAAGAGTGAAGATCTATAGTAATGAGGATTTGACAGGGACATTCTAGTCAGGGAAGCTATCACAGGGGACTGAGACTATCCAAGGGGACAGAGTATGAGAGGCATTGGAGGACTAGTAGCAGAGAGCAACAGGTTGAAGGAGGTAGGTTTATAGTCCAGGAAAGTTGAAGGAGAGGTTCAGTCAGGGAAGGTTGAGAGATTGGAGGACAGCAGGGAAAGGAAGATTGGTAGGTTTATAGTTCAGGGACAAGGTTGAGGATTGGTAGGTTACTAGTCAGGGAAAGGGAAGGAGGAGGTACAGCCAGAGGAAGGAGGAGTTTTAGAAATTTAGTTGGTAGAATTCAGAAAGTTAAGATTGTAGTTATAAGAAATTAAATTGTATATAGTCAGGAAATTTTGAAGGGCTACTATCCAAAGGGGGATTAGCTATCCAGGGGAATTAGCTTCCAGGGACTAAGATTGGACATGCAAAATAGTGGTGAAGAGGGAAAAACATGTATTTAAAGGAAAGGTTGAAGATTGGTAGTTCAGGGGAAAGGTTGAAGGATTGTAGGTTTACTAGTCCAGGGAAAGGTTGAAGATTGGTAGGTTTACTAGTTCAGGGAAAGGTTGAAGGATTGGTAGGTTTACTAGTTCAGGGAAAGGTTGAAGGATTGGTAGGTTTACTAGTTCAGGGAAAGGTTGAAGGATTGGTAGGTTTACTAGTTCAGGGAAAGGTTGAAGGATTGGTAGGTTTACTAGTTCAGGGAAAGGTTGAAGGATTGGTAGGTTTACTAGTCCAGGGAAAGGTTGAAGTATTGGTAGGTTTACTAGTTCAGGGAAAGGTTGAAGTACTGGTAGGTTTATTAGTTCAGGGTAACGTTGAAGGATTGGTAGGTCTACATGTTCAGGGTAAACCAACAGGGGTGTATTCATTAGTGCACACCGTAGCTAAACGTTTTGCAATAGAAAACGGAAGCATCGTACTGGGCAAATTCAGGTAGGTCCCTCCTCATTTGGTACTGTTTGGTCCGGTATGGTTCCTAGTGAATTGTTTCCTCTTTCTGACAGGGGGTTTCATCAAGCTGGTAGAGACCCACCTATGGGCCCTTGTCAAAAGTAGTGCACTATATAGGGAATAGGGTGCAATTTGGGACACAACCAGACAGCAGGACTGTTTCTATCTGGGGTCTCCATCTTCCCCCCCAAAGCAACATGATGATGATGATGATGATGATGATGATGAAACATATTAGTTTATATTCCAAGTGGTTTTAGAACACGCATCATTAATTATTCAAACATAAAACACATCAGAATAGTTCTTTCCTGGCTGAAGCTTTTTCACGAACGCTAACGTTAGGGAGAAATGACAGTTTCACCATGGTCAGATTGTTAAAAAAAAAAACGATTATACAGAAAAATCTAAATGTGTAACAGTATGTTAACCCTATTCCCTATTATGGGACCTAATCAAAAGTAGTGTACTATAAAGGCAGTAGGGTACAATTTGGGACGAAGCCTATGAAAGAGACGCTGGGCTGAGGCCAGACACAGGCCTGTAGAGCAGAGAGACGCTGGGCTGAGGCCAGACACAGGCCTGTAGAGCAGAGAGACGATGTGCCACATTCATATGAGAGACAATGCCTGAGTCCCAAATGGCACCCTATTCCATTTATAGTGCACTACTTTTGACCACGGCCCATAAGGACTCTAGGTAGGGGATAGGGTGCAATTTGGGACACAGCCAATACAGTCCTCCTAAAGTATCCTTCATGAAACACAGAGAC